AGTTGGTTGGTGCTTAAGATGGGAGAAATCACAACAGTTTTATATACTGATAGGAATACTCCTTTCCAAAGCATATTCATCCAATTCAAACAAGATTCACCACACTACCATCATGAAAGATCATGAAACTCAGGCTTCCTCTTTGGTAGCTGCTAGCTATCCCAGCATTCTCAAACCCCACAAAGATAAATCATTAGACACTGCCTACATATGACTAAATTACAATGGAAAAACATACTCATCCTCAGTTGAAATTTATATTCATAGGCTGAACCTAAAAGGAGACTTGAAAGTTTCCTAATCCAATGCAAACTCTAATCCCATCACCATTCTACTATTAGCTTGATGTCAGTCAAGTCAAATCACCTGTTTTAGATTACAAAACTAAAAAAATGGAACAAAACAAGAAAAAAACTTGTTGTGTAAGGCCAAAGAAACAAATAAATAAAAATCAATACAATTTATCCTAAGAATGCAAAATGGTTTACCATCTGAAAACCAACTAATGTACTATATACTATTAACAGAAAAAACCCACAACACATAATATTAATAGATGCAGAAAAAGCATTTGACAAAATCCAACATCTTTCCATAATAAAAATACTCCATGAACTAGTAACAGAAGGAAACTTCATCGACCTGATAAAGGGCATCCAAGAAAAACCCACAGCGACCACCCTTACATAATGGTAAAAGAGTATATGTTTTCCCCCTAAAATAAAGATGTCCACTTTGCCATTTCTATACCCCATTGTACTAGGTAGTATAGTCAGGGCAATTAGGAAAGAAAAAAAAAAGTCCAAGTTGAAAAGAAAGAAGTAAAATTATCTCTATTTGTTAGAGTAAAGAATCTCATATATAATATAAAAAAATCCCAAGATGTCCTCTAAAAAAGTGATTAGAACTAATAAATGCAAAAGTCAACTGGATTTCTATACACTTGTGATAATCTGGAAATGAAAACAATTCCATTTACAGTAACATCAAAAAGAATAAAATACTTAAGAATAAATTTAACAAAGTACCAATTTTATGCTCTAAACACTATAAAACATTGTTGAGAGACATTAAAGACCTAAATGAATGGGAAGATGTCCCATGTTCATGGATCAGATAGCAATAGTCCCCAGATAACTGACAGATTTAATGCAATCCCTATCAGGATCCCAGTTGGCTTTTTGTAGGAAGGTGATCTTAAAATTCGCATGAAGTAAGTGACTCAGAATAGAAAAACAACGGTGAAAAAGAACAAAGTTGGAAGCCTCCATTTTTCAACTTCAAAACTTACTACAAAGATACAGTAATCAAGACAGATTGTACTGGCATAAGGATAAACAATAAATCAATGGAACAACTGAGAATTGAAGAACATCTCCTGTCATTCCAGTGAGGCAAATAAGTCTCTGCAACAAATGGTGCTAGAACACAGGTTATCCACATGCAAATGAATGAAGTTGGATCCCTACCTAATATCATATATAAAAATTAGCTTAAAATGAATCATAGGCCTAAATATAAGAGCTACACTGTAAGATTCTTAGAAGAGACAGGCATGGTGGCTCAAGCCTGTAATCCTAGCACTCTGGGGGCCAAGGTGGGAGGATCACTCAAGGTCAGGAGTTTGAAACCAGCCTGAGCAAAAGCAAGAACCCATCTCTACTAAAAATAGAAAGAAATTAATTGGCCAACAGGCACAGGCCACCATAGATATTTCCATATATAAAAATATATAGAAAAAATAAGCTGGGCATGGTGGCGCATGCCTGTAGTCCCAGCAACTTGGGAGGCTGAGGCAGGAGGATCTCTTAAGCCCAGGAGTTTGAGATTGCTGTGAGCTAGGCTGATGTCATGGCACTCTAGCCTGGGCAACAGAGTGAGACTCTATCTCAAAAAAAAAAAGATTCTTAGAAGAACACATAGGAGTAAATCTTTGTGACCTGGGATTAGGTAATTAATGGTTTCTTAGATATGACCAAAAAAGCACAATTCTCCTTCTAAAGGTAAATGAATTGGACTTTATCAAAATTAAATAACTTCTATGCTTCAAAGGAAACCATTAAGAAAGAGAAAAGACCATCCACAGAATGGTAGACAACATTTGTAAATCATATATCTGATAAGAGAACTATATATAATATATTAAGAACTCCTGTAAGTCAGAAACAAAAATATAAATAACTCAATTACATAATCTGAGACCATGGTTCATGCCTGTAATCCTAGCACTCTGGGAGGCCAAGGCAGGAGGATTGCTTGAGGTCAGGAGTTCAAGACCAACCTAAGCAAGAGCGAGACCCTGTCTCTACTAAAAATAGAAAAAAATTAGCCAGTCAATTAAAAATAGAAACAAAAAATTAGCCGGGCATGGTGGCCTGTGCCTGTAGTCCCAGCTACTCGAGAGGCTGAGGCAGGAGGATCACTTGAGCCCATAAGTTTGAGGTTGCTGTGAGGTAGGCTGACATCATGGCACTCACTCCAGCCTGGGCAACAAAGCAAGATTGTCTCAAAAAAAAAAAAAAAAAAAAACAAAGGATCTGAAAAGACAGTTCTCCAAAAGAGACATATAAATGCCCAATAAGCACATGAACAAATAGATGCTCGACATCAATAACCATTAGGAAAATATAAATTAAGATACAAGGAGATACCACTTCATATCTCCACTGGGATGGCTATAAGTAAAAAGACAGATAATGACAAGTGTTGATGAAGATGTGAAGAAATTTGAACCCTTATACACTGCTGGTAGGAATGTGAAATGGTAAAGCCCCTTTGGAAAACAGTTTGCAGTTTCTTAAAAGGTTAAACATAAAGCTACCAGAGGACCCAGTAACTCCATTCCCAGGTATATACCCAAGAGAAATGAAACATGTCTACCAGAAAAACTTCTAAACAAACATTCAATGTAATAATTTGTAATAGTCAAGAAGTGAAAACAGTCCAAATGTTCATCAACTGATGGATAAATAAAATGTGGTGTATCCATAGAATAAAGTATTATTCAGTAGTAAAAAGAAATGAAGTACTGATACATGCTATAACATGGACAAATTTTGAAAATATTATGCTAAAGGAAAGAATCCAGTCACAAAAGATCACATATCATATATTCTATTTATATGAAAAGTCCAGAATAGGCAAATATATAGGACAGAAAGTAGATCAGTGATTACCTAGGGTTGGAGGAGGCCTGGGGGAGGGAAAATGACAACTGACTACCAACAGATGTGAGATATTCCTTTTATTTTTAATTGAAAAAATCTTTAATTGCTTTAAAACTAACCTAAAATTTATCACTGTAACCATTTTTAAGTATATAATAGTTCAGTAAAGTATATTTACATTGTTGTGAAACTGATGTCTAGAACTTTTTCATTCTGCAAAACTGGAACTCTAAACCCATTAAACAACAACTCCCCATCTAACCCCAGCTCCTGGCAGCCACCATTTACTTTGTCTCTATGAATTTGACTATTTAGTACCTCATATAATAGTATTTGTCCTTTTGTGACTGCCTTATTTCACTTAGCATAATGTTGCAGTGTGTGACAGGATTTCCTTCCTTGTTAAGACTGAATAGCATTCTATTGGATGTATCACATATTGTTTATCCACTCATCCATTGGTGAACATTTGAGTTGCTTCTACCTCTTGGCTATTGTTAATAATGCTACTATGAATATGGGTGTGCAAATATCTGTTTGAAATCCTACTTTTAATTCTTTTGGATATATACCAGAAATGGGATTGCTGTATCATGGGGGCTTCTTTTTAGAGTGTTGAAATGTTCTAAAATTTGATACTGGTGATAGTTGCACATATATTATACGAATATAGTAAAAACCACTAAATCTTATATTTTAAATGAGTGAATTATATATGATTGTATATAATATGTATATTATATCTCAATACAGCTGTTAAAAAAATACAACTCTTAAAGGCTGAATCCAGTATATAATTACTTCAAGGATTTCAACTGAATTGGATAATTAATCTGGTTAAATAAGCAGTTAATTTTGTCATTCAGGTAATTTTGTACCTTATTTTCAATGCCCTGGCTAGATGTTTAGGCATTTTTTGTGACATAACTTAAGTGCTTCTTCAGCACTACACATTAGAGAAAGTAGGAAAAAGAAACTATCAGTATCTATCTTTAATTTATAATATTAAACCTTTTCATGTTTTACATCAGGAAATACTATGAAGAAATAACAAATTCATATCAACTATGGCAATTTTTATTTCATTTTCCCTTTGCTGTATCATTCACCAGATATTTTAAAATTGAAAAAATAAAGCAGGACTTTACTCATTTTGACTTCAGATTTCCTTTCTGAAATGTCACTCACAATTATTTCACATAGAACATATTCAAAAGACAAAGGGTTTATTCCCCTTTTTTGCAATAAAAAATTACACAATTAAAAAGTCCTATGTCCAATGTCACTGACTAGGGAGAGAGGCAATACATTAAAAAAATGGAGCAAAAATATTTTGAGAAAAAATATGTATCAAATTCAGATTCTTATCTTTAATTCCCATACAAAATTAGAAAAGCTAATGGCAATACAGATGGCCATTGATGCTCGGAACTCATTTCATCACTTTCTCTTCTGCTTCATCCAGGCATTTTTCAGTATTGTCAAGCTCAAAGATACAGTTTTAGAAAGACAATAAATGTGATAATCTCAAAGATTTCTCATGACCTCTTCTGGTGAGAGCAGAGCAAAGTAAGAGAAATCTTTCTAGTCTGACTAATCATTTTTTAAAATAATAAGCTCCATATGGTTCACGACAACGATGAGACAGGTTTGGAAGTCAACTTTCAATCTTGGTTCCAAGGCAGAGATTGAAACAATGGTTTATGATATAATTATAAAGATAGTTATTATGCAGGACAGTATTTCCTTCCAGACTATACATCCTATATACTTTAACAACTTTTCTTAAAAAAATCTCTCAGGGTTGATTTTAAATGAAGGCCAAAATACTACCAGTTGATTTCAGAGTCTTATTACAGATTTTTCAAAGTCCGTCTGTGTGCAGAAGCAAAATTACGAATGGCCATTCGAAGAGTTGAGTTCCCCTCAGAGGTATCACAGGAGTTGATGACTGAATGTAGTGCCCGAGTATATGCTGCAAATAAAGGTTTGCACAGTGATGAATAAAGTCAGATTCTAAACAACTCTCCTATTCTCTATCCTATTAGTACTGCTTCTCTACCCAGAGTCTCATAGATATACACTTTCTTTTTTTTTTTTTTGAGACAGAGTCTCACTCTGTTGCCTGGGCTAGAGTGCCGTGGCATCAGCCTAGCTCACAGCAACCTCAAACTCCTGGGCTCAAGCAATCCTACTGCCTCAGCCTCCCAAGTAGCTGGGACTACAGGCATGTGTCACCATGCCTGGCTAATTTTTCTATATATTTTTAGTTGGCCAATTAATTTCTTTCTATTTTTAGTAGAGACAGAGTCTCGCTCTTGCTCAGGCTGGTTTCGAACTCCTGACCTTGAGCGATCCTCCCGCCTCGGCCTCCCAGAGTGCTAGGATTACAGGTGTGAGCCACCGTGCCTGGACTATATATTTTAATTATCCAGAGAATAAATATTTATTGAGTATTAACTATGTGACAAGCACTCTGTGAGAACAGAAAAGATAATGAAGAGGATGGACACAAAAATAATTAAATTGAGGCATATACAAAATGTCATCACAGAATAAAGTTAGGAATGAATGAATAACTGTTTAGGAAAGGATGGAAAAGATTTCCAGAAGTGGTAACATTTAAGGTGGGCCTTGAAGAATTAACAGGAATAAAGGAAAGAAGGCATTATAAGCAGAGAATTGCGTGAGTGAGGAGCAAATAGTGTAAAAAATATGGCATATAACGGGAATAGCAAGTTTGGTAAGGCTAGAGTACAGCCTGGGGCCAGAGAGAAAATATGGCAAACATGCCATGCATTTTGGACTGTAATGTTTTAGAATAGAGGAATGACATGATCAGATTTGTGTTTTAAGAAATATTAACTCATAGGATTGATAAGAAACTCAAACCATACAGATGGGGAACTAAGAATATAAATACTGGCAGTATTTTCATTGTGTACATGAGGCCTACATAATGTCCACAGTATATGGAAACAGAAACATTAGTGACAACAGGACAGACTCCATTTTTTTCTAGCTGGGACTCCTGATAGAGTATATACTGCTCCTCATTTTCCCCTGTTTCCTGGCAGAACTGGCAGTCTAATGTGCACATATGGTAATAAGTCTGTGTTACATATCATTAAAGTATTACTATTTGGGTAACAGAGAATTCAACTGGACAGAGTCCTAACTTACATAAAAGACAAACCCTAATAGTCTTCAGTTAAAAAAGGACCATGAAACTCAAGGTCTCCTACAATGGAATGAACTGAAAATATTTCCTCAGCATAAATGGGGACAAAACGATAACCAATCTCAAAGAGAAATATATAATAACTCACTATAATTATTTTTATTGCCTCATATAGTTGTTTTGTAAAGAGCAGTCTCTGATATAAACAATAGTAAATGACTACTATCACTATTCTTAATGGATTTTTAAAATTGTCATTAGGCCCCAACTATTCCTTTAAGAAACTTACCTCTGTGGTTTTTATAGAAAATACAATTGTTGGCACAGGTATCAGGATGAGCATCCCAAAAATCAGGACCACAACAGCACAGTGGAGGTAAAGTAATATTATACAGCTGCATTTTCTCCTGGATCTGGGCTCGTAAAGCTTCTACATATCTATAAAAATAAAGTATGATCAGGCAAAGTGAACTACTAGAAAGAGAGTGAGTATGAATCCTCATTTTACAGCCAGCTTTAACTGTTAAAACTATTTTATATCTCTGTGTCTCAACTTTTCCTCTTTGTACTGGGAAAATTGCAGTGCTATTCCCAAGTAGTACTAGGGAATCAAGAAATATTCCCTATTTGGCAAAGTTATGAACCCCTAAATGAGGAAAAGTATGAGAAGACATAGTCAATTATCATTTAAGAAAAATGAGAACACTGACTCCCTACTAAGTCTCCTCTAGAGCCAGAATTTCATGCAGAACTTTTCAGATTACCTTAGGTATTCCTTTTCTCTCTGTTGCTGTTTTTCTCTGGCTCCTTTTATTTCTTCAAGTTGTAACTGGGCTAATATCTCACTCATACTCTCCTCTTCATGAACACTCATTCTTAAGATCCTCTGCTCTTCAGCATAACGTTGTTGCTCTCTCTTTTTCTTAATTCTGAGAATAAAACCATAATGTAGTGAGGAATTTCATAAAATTATTATTTAAAATTAGCTTCTAGATCCAAATAACTCAAAAAATTCCCAGAAACAAAGGAATCAGGAAATCAGTTTAATACCCAAAGAATATCTTTAAAAATTCCTGCTGGCTGATTTGAGTTTACCCTCTAGCTTATCTATCTATATATCTTTTTGAAAGAGAATGAGCAACAGCTGCTATCAAAAGAGTTTTTCTATAAGAATTCTAGCACAAGAGCCTTCTTAGGCCAAGACTACACATAAACAGGACTTCTGTTTCTGGCCAAAATAGAATAACAGGGCCTGGATTTGACCTCCTATCTTAAACACCCCCCAAAATTTAAAAAGTAAAAAAGTAAGTAAACCAGACAAATACAAGAAACTATGGTTTTCTTTCTTTCTTTTTTCCCCTCATTTCTCCCCCCTTCCCCCGCCTTTGGAGATTTCTCAAAGAAGTTTCCTCATTTATTAAGTAAATTTAATTTGTATAAATGCCTTTCAGCAAAAGCAAAACAAAACAAAAACAAAACCCTTTGGACTCAGCTGGCTTCTCTGGTGAATTCTGCCAAACATCTAATGAAGAAATAACACCAATCCTCTACAAATTCTTTCAGAAGATAGAGGAGAGGGCACCACTTCCCAGCTCATTTTATGAGGCCAGGATAACCCTGATACTAAAACCAAATAAGATATTATAAACAAAGCAAACTACAGATCCAAATTCCACATGAGCACTAAAGCAAAAATCTTTTTTTTTTTTTTTTTGAGACACAGTCTCACTCTGTTGCCCAGGCTAGAGTGCTGTGGCATCAGCCTAGCTCACAGCAACCTCAAACTCTTGGGCTCAAGTGATCCTCCTGCCTCAGCCTCCTGAGTAGCTGGGACTACAGGCATGCCCCACCATGCCTGGCTAATTTTTTTCTATACATTTTTAGTTGGCCAATTAATTTCTTTCTATTTTTAGTAGAGGCGGGGTCTCGCTCCTGCTCAGGCTGGTTTCAAACTCCTGACCTTGAGTGATCCACCCGTCTCGGCTTCCCAGAGTGCTAGGATTACAGGCGTGAGCCACCACGAAGGCCCAAAAATCTTTAATAATATTAACAAACCTGAATCCAGCGATATGTAAAAATGATAATGCACTAAATTCCAGGAATGAAAGCTTGCTATTTTATTATTTTATTTTATTTCAGCATATTATGGGGGTACAAATGTTTAGGTTACATATATTGCCCTTGCCTTACCCGAGTCAGAGCTTCAAGCATGTCCATCCCCCAGATGATGCACACCACACCCATTAGATGTGTATATATTCATCCCCTCCTCCCTCTTCCCTCCTGCCTGACACTCGATGAATGTCAATCACCATTGTATTTTGTGTCTGAGTAGAACTCCATGGTATATATATAGCACATTTTATTATCCACTCATGGATTGATGGGCACTTGGGTTGTTTCCACATCTTTGCAATTATGAATTGTGCTGCTATAAACATTCGGGTGCAGAAGTCTTTTTTATAGAATGTCTTTTGTTTTTTTGGGTAGATGCATAGTAATGGGATTGCTGGATCAAATGCGAGTTCTACTTGCATCTCTTTGAGGTATCTCTGTATTGCTTTCCGCAGAAGTTTAATAGTTTGCAGTCCCACCAGCAGTCTATGTCTCCGCATCCATGCCAACATTTATTGTTTTGGGACTTCTTGATAAAGGCCATTCTCACTGGAGATAAGTGATATCTCATTGTTTTGAATTGTATTTCCCTGATGATTAGAGATGTTGAGCATTTTTTCATATGTTTGTTAGCCATTAGTCTATTTTCTTTTGAAAAGTTTCTGTTCATGTCCTTTGCCCACTTTTTGATAGGGTTGTTTGATTTTTTCTTGCTGATTTTCCTGAGTTGTATATAGATTCTACTTATCCCTTTATTGGACATGTAACATGAGAATATTTTCTCCCATTCTGTAGAAATGGTTTTCAAGACACTGGACATCAGGCAACAAAGGACACTGGTCCCGGACAGATGGGAAACAAATGAAATAAGCCCTGTAAGTGCCAGAGGTTACTACCTTAAAAGTTTCTAGACAGTGGCATGGGACAAGAGAATTAAAGTGGAGACTGGTGGGCTCCTTGAGTTGAGGAGAAGGAGCTATGAGTGCAGGGAGACAAAGGCAAGTAGAGTTCACACGACAAAATGCCAGAGAGAAGAAAGCTGCTCAGAGAGAGAACCCAAGAGATGAACAGAGTCTCCTTCTAGCACACAGCAGAGCACTGACTGGTGCATGTGTGAGAGGAATTGACCTGAGGCTAGGGAAAGAACCATCCAAAATAAGAGGAAACAGTGCCTAAAGGTCACATAGCACTGGAAATAATGCTTGTTTCCATGAGTCAGACTTGAAAAACTCAAAATTCACAGGGCATTAGGTAGAGTTTTCAGCAAGATCTTACCTTAGTCATAGGGAATAAAATTAGTCCTATATTGAACACTGCTCATGAGCCACCTAAACAAATTATAAAATCAAGTCCTCAAAGTAACTTAACTGCATACCATAACAAAGCTCAAGAAAATTTACAGGAATGCAAAGATGTTCAGCAATTAACAAGGTAAAGTTCACAATGTCAGACATCCAACCAAAGATTACCAAGCATGCAAAGAGGCAGGAAAACACTATATTGATTTCAACTATATTCTTGAAATCAAACTTACAGAAATAAAAACTACAGTTTCAAAACTACAATGAGATAGAAATTATCCAAAATGAACCAAAGGAAAAAAAACCTGAAATAATAAAGAGAGTACCAAAAACCCTCCAAATAATAAGATTATAAAATGGGTAAAAAATTTAAATAAACATTTCTCCAAAGATGATATATAAATTGGCTAACATGCATATGAAAGGATGCTTATTATCACTAATCATTAGGGAAATACAAACCAAAACCACAATGAAATTATCACCTCACACCCATTAGGATGGCTACTATCGAAAAACCAGAAAGTAACAGGTGAGGATATAAGAAAGTAGAACCCTTGAATACTGTTGCTGGTGCAGCCACTATGAAAAACAGTATGGAGGTTTCTTTAAAAAGTATAAATAGAGGCCGGGCGTGGTGCCTCACGCCTGTAATCCTAGCACTTTGGGAGGCTGAGGCGGGCGGATTGCTCAAGGTCAGGAATTCTCGAAACCAGCCTGAGTGAGACACCGTCTCTACCAAAAATAGAAATAAATTAATTGACCAACTAAAAATATATATACAAAAAAATAATTAGCCGGGCATGGTGGCACATGCCTGTAGTCCCAGCTACTCGGGAGGCTGAGGCAGTAGAATCGCTGAGCCCCGGAGATTGAGGTTGCTGTGAGCCAGGCTGACGCCACGGCACTCACTCTAGCCTGGGCAACAACGTGAGACTCTGTCTCAAAAAAAAAAAAAAAAAAGTATAAATAGAGCTACCACATGGTCAACAATCTCACTTCTGGGTACACATTCAAAAGAATTGAAAACAGGGTCTCAAGGAGATATTTGTACACACATGTGCATAAAGCATTAATTCATTATAGCTAAGAGGTGGAAACAACCCAAATGTCCATCAGAGGATGAACAGGTAAACAAAATGTAGTGTATCATACAATGGAATATTAGTCAGACTTAAAAAGAAAACCTTGTCATATTCAACAACATGGATGAACCTTAAGGACACTATGCCAAATGAAATAAGCCAGTCACAAAAAGACAATGTTCAATTATACTTATACGAAGGCCTAAAGAAGTCAAACTCATACAATTACAAAGTATAATTGAATAGCAGTTACTGGGGGATGAGAGCAAGGAGAAAGGGGGAGTTGTTTAACAGATACAGAATTTCAGATTTGCAAGATGAAAAAGTTCCAGAGATCTGTTTCAAAACGAAGTAACTATACTTAACACTACTGAAATGTACACTTAAAAATGGTTAAAATGGTAAATTTTATTTTATATGTTTTTTACAATTTAAAAAATATGTCACATAAATATATGAATAAGTGAATAAAAAAAGATGAAATAATTTGTTTTCAAAAACTGAAAGAATTCATCTCCAGTAGACTTACAACTACAACAAATGTTAAAAGATATCCTTCGGGCAGGAGGAAAATGACACTATAGGTTATAAACATATATAAGGTTTTTCTTATTATTTAAATCTCTGTACAATTGTCAATTCAAAACAATATAATAACAATGTATTTTATATGTAAAAGTAAAAAGCATGGCAACAATAGCAGAAAGGATGAAATGCGAGAAATGGAAGTATACTACTGCAATATTTCTTATACTATTCATGAAGTAATACAGTATCACTTGAAGGGTAGACTGTGAAAAGTTAATGCTATATACAATAAACCCTAGAACAACCAATAAAATAACAAAACAAAGGGTTATAGTTAATATGTCAACAAAGGAGATCAAATGGAATCATAAAAATACAAAAGTGTAATTCAAAAGAAGGCAGAAAAAGAAAAAAAAGGGGACAAAGAAGAGGTAGAACAAATGAAAAACAAACAGCAAGATGACATACTATCTAACCCAATTAATAATTATATCAAAGGTAAATGGCCTAAACACCACAATTAAAAGGCAGAGATTGTCAGATCTAACAAAAGTCAAAACCCAAATATATGCTATAAATAAGAAATGCATCTTAAATATAAAGGTGCAAATAAATTAAAAATAAAAGAAAAAGATATACTATGATAGACTAGTTAAAAGAAGGCTGGAGTGGAGATTAGCTATATAGAAAATATCATCAGACAATGCAGATTTCAGAGCAAAGAAAATTATCAGGTATAAAGATCACTTCATAATTATAAAAGAATGAATCAATTAAAGAGATATAACAACCCTAAACATTTATGTACCTAATAATAGGGCTTCAAAATATATGACGCAAAGACTGACAGAACTGCAAGGAGATAAAAACCCAGTTACAGCACAGATTTCAATATCCTTC